ACTAAAACTAGAACTAACACTAGAAACTTTCGGGTTTTGCCGGGTGTCTTTTAAGAAAAGGTTTGACGTTTCGGATGCCATGTTGCAACCTTCTTCAGAAACTGGTTTGAAGTAACTTTGTGTTAATTCTGGTTCGAATTAACTACGGTCGTGAAAGCTTTCGTACTTAAACAAATATATTATGAAAAATGTTCTAGCACATTTAATTTTCTCGGAAAATGGATAAAATTTTGATTTCTTAATATAACGGCCAGTTCTTAATGGTACCTCAGGAAAGGGAAAGAAATTGCGATTCCGACGACTTCACAATCAAATATCATCTAATTAGTATTCTTTATGTAAATTACTGAGGTTGTTAAAAGTGCAAAAAAAGTTATATAGTTACGACCTTGATGTAGAGAGGGCGTTAGGTGTTCGGTTCAGACTCAGGCGCTGGTGCAGTCGCGGCGTGGCGTTCGGATTTTTAAAATGCAACTGGCACCGTGATTCTTTCTAATTTCATAAAAAATTTATTCCTTATTTTTTGTTATTTCGATGTCGTAAACGTTCATAGCGTGTTATGCAGAGTGCGTATGAAAACGTGTCGTTATTATAGTATCTATTTCCTGTATTTTTTCGTGGTCTATATACATATGGTTATTTTTATTTTAGTTATTTTATATTGTTACATTTACACAGGGTCTCATGTAACTGGTTCGTTAGAACTTTATCAGGTTCCATCAGATCCATTTGGACCTTTCGATCTAAAATATTTTCAAGATAGCTGCTACTTCCGGTCTGCCGAAAGTAGATAATAACTTCGTTATTTTAAATGACATGCTATAGTTTTTATTACATTTTGTAATTGTACGTAAAAAAATATGTTGACTTTGATAAAAGCTATTGGTACCTAGCGTTTCAATTAACGTTTCAAAAAAGCTCTAAATTGGCATGACTACTCTTGAGATACTGTCAAATAGACTGTCATTTGTTGTATCTGAGTATCTGAGTATACAGGTTGATCAAAAATTGAGTTGCCGTTTCTCCATATTCAATGGCGAGAAAGTAGAAAATTTTAAATGGAACTCCCCATATTTTTTTAGCCTGTCAGAAAGGTAATTTAATTCTCTACAAATTATCTATAAACATTCCCATACCTATTTATTGTAGTTTCTCTCATATTAGGAAATTTATCAAAACATGCTTGCGATACAGGCTTCTTTATTAGAAAGCCATGGAATTTTGACAGTTTTTTATCCATGTTTGTATTATTATAGTCCTAACTTACATCATTTGACAATGGATGTAAGTCATTGAACATCATGGCAAGTTATTTCAATGCCGATATTTGAAATTTCTTTTGTATTGACGGTAAATGTAATAAACTTTTGGACAGGACATGTCGAACACTTAATGAGAGACGCTTAACTAATAGAACAGGAAATCGTGATTTGGATTTTATCAAATTTTGGCCAGGTGTAAAATTAAGTACAAAATGAATACAATTGATCCTGTTGTGAAATTCCCATTTTGCCCTACCATTTTTTCAATAAAAGTGTGCAAATTTTAAATTATTCGCTGACCATAATTTTAAAATGCAGACCTTTTGAGATTATAGCTTACAAACATTTTTTTTATGTTAACTGTTTGTATAATCCTGCTGAGCAAATAACAATTTTCATATTATATATTTTAATATCTAGATATTTTCTGATAACCCTTGATTGAATGCTGACCAGGTATACTATTGCTGCTTTTTTTATAGCCAAAAAACATTTAATTACCACCCAGTGTTTAATGTTATTTAATTTTTATATTCTATTTCTATTCTATAACACTAATCAATTCTATCCGCTGTTGGATAATAAAGTTTATCTACAACTATTGAATTATCTATTCGTTATACATTTGATTTTTGACGGGTAATGACACGCATTACTCATGACTGACAAAGTGTTAAATAATGAAGCCATTATTCCACAGTTCTGACACGGTCTACTAATCAAAAAATAAAATATTAACAGAAATGACAGCTTTCTTATATTGAGGTTATGTCTGAAATGTCTATCAAGTTTATTTTTTTCCTTTTTTTTTGATTTTTTTTCAAAATTAAATAGTTGTAGATAAAGTATAGTATTCAACTTGCGTATAATGGATGTTACCCACTCAGATTACGACACTCGCTCGCTCGCTCGTGTTACAACTTTATCTTCGTGGGTAACAGCCGCCATTATACGCTTGTTGAATAATATACTATTATCCACAATCACCTTATAATTGAAGTTTTATCCACACTTATAAACCGTATAAAGTACCACTTTATCCACTAGTGGAATAAAGTTACTTTGTCCACGACTACTATATATCTTACGAATGAGTTTTCTAAAACAAAAGGGTAGTCATTTTTCACGGAGTGAATAATAGCAGTGAATAATAATCATTATTCACGGGTAGCCATCTTGACCAGACTAATAATAATTATTTGAAACGTCAAAATTTCAAAAAACGTCAATTTAATTCAACTTTTTAGGACTTTCTAAAGGTTAAATTAATTAATTTTCATAAAGAAAACGACGTTTCATAAAATTGACATTTAATTTTGACAACTTGTGAAGTTGGTTACAGTTGCTAACATTGAATTTGTGCCACATTGACGTTTAAACTTTATTCAAAAATTTATTTAAAAATGAATTTAGGGAATCAATTTCAATAGTCGTGGACAAAGTATAGTATTCTAGTCACATATAATGAGCTTTTATTCATTCAGGATAATTATGCCACTCGCTACGTTCGTGACATAAACTTAACCTTCGTGAATAGCCCTCATTATATGCTCATATAATAATATACTACTATTCCACTAGTGGAATAATGAAAAATACAATCTTAAATTCATCACATCCTATTTATTATTTATATTAACATTGACATTAACATTTATATTAATAGACATATCATTCTTTGATTTGTTTGTCATATCCTTTGATTATACAGCGTGTCCCGTATCTTCCGCATCAGAGCATTATACGGTTGTAGAATACATTATTCTGAAGCGATCTTTCTAATAAATTTTTTTCGAAATGTTTATAATAACCGCACGGGAACTGTTTAACAACGACCAATAACGGACGACTTTGATTCATCGAAAAAGTTTATTTCTCTTTCCATGACGAATTTATTGGTGAGTACACGTGGGAAACGAGTTATCATCGGCGTAGCGGACCGGCCGAGGGTGGCACCGATTACCTGAGTCTGATTTGCGATCTGCTGATTGGACGAAAAACAGTTCCTTTNATATAGTAGAAACCACGAGAGCTGGCAGTGACAGATCGCTTAAAAATGGTATGAATCAAGATATGGACGTACGACTTAGATTATTTCACCACATACATTTAAATGTAGGTTATGTTAGTAATGGAGGTTATATGTCAAACATTGTCAAAGATATTATTTAATGATTTTCCTTTCAAAGAAAACATTTTCGGCTTGTGAAAACACTAACAGATTCATGACAACGCTCACAAGACGTTTCGATTTGAGGTTATAATTATAGAGTGACATCCCTTAGAAGAACAGACGTACTTTTTCGACGTGGCCATTTGAATTGTACAGCAGACATATTAAACTAATGCTATCTCTTTCCAACACACATTACTCTCTAGCGGTTTGTGAACTACGTATGGCATTTGTAAGAGCGGAAAATGATGATTTACTGCCAGCTCTCGTGGCGTCTACTATACCAACTTTCACACTTTTACAAATATGTTACATATGGAGTCGATAAACAAAACGAAAATAAAGAGCACCAATTCAACACCTCCCAATGGTTTTTTTATTTCTTCTTCTTCTTCAAAAAGTTTTGGGTTGGTAATGGGATTTGGAAACAAACCCAAAACTTTTTGAAGAAGAAGAAGGTTTTTTAGTTAATTCCAATGATTTTTGAGGTAACAGCGGCTGTCAGAGTGATCTATGAGGCGGATAGCAAAGCCTTGTTTTACTGATTTATACAGATTTCATTACGAATTCCCAATATTTTGATAAATCGCACATTTTACATTTTACCCAAATTTCGAGATAATAATTCATTTTTAAGTCTAATTACACGTAATCTCTTCCTACATTCTACTAGTATCCTTGAAGCGTTAACGCCTCAATTTATTGTTTAATTTCTCGTAAATGTCGCTTTACATCAAGTGTTATTTAGGACAAACTTTAGGTTTTTTTTTGCTACAAATACAGCAATTTTACAACGTGAAATACTTCAATGTGTGTACTTTAATTCTATGTATTCACTTTTCCATAATAATTTGCCATGAAATTGTAATTTGAGTAAAAACTAACCTCTACCGGCACATATAAAAGTGGTTATTTAAACGTCCCCTTAACCCTTCCGCGTGGAGTGCCGTACACGTGTACGTCATCCATAAAATTATTTCTACTGCGGAGTGCCGTACACGTGTACGTCACAAGATCGCATTAGAGTAGATAGCATACAAAAGCATAGAGTAGATCGCACTCCCGCATCTCACATAGTAATTGAATTTTTTAACTTCCACACGGAAGGGTTAAGTCAACAGGTTTCTGTAGTATATCTAACAACATGTGCGCCATCTGCTAAGACTTTCTATCAAGATGACAAAGAGAAAATATCGGTATTATGATGTGATAATAAGAGATAGAGCCCTACTCTGTGTTTCCTTCCACAGAGTATACAGAGGCCGGACTCCGGCTAATAAAAGTGGCACTCCTATCTATCCTTGTTTAACTAATGAAAACTTCGTATGGTACTTTCTCTCTCACATAAACTGAATCGATGTAGATGGCGGTAGTGTAGTGGATCGATAAATACGAGCGGGAATTTGAATATAAATCTCATTACTCTTTAAAATTTTTTTTAATAACAACTTCCAAAATATCAAACATTTTCATCTCAAAATAAATAAGTTGTAAGATGAAACCAGCGATTTTTTGAACTTGTTATTAAAAAAACTAATAAAATATTATTAAATAAAAATGTAAACTTCAGAAGAACAAATCTATGTATATTTATAGACAAATATTTACATTTAATCGTTTTCATGCTCATGGGGGCGTTTTTGTACAATGGTAAAGCATTTGCTTCAAGGCTAGAGGAAAACCCATGAAAAACTCTAACATACCATAAGTCAAATAAATTTGTAGACAAATTTAGGAATATAAACTGCAGTTGCAAACAACAGATTTAAGACAGCCAGAATAAAAAAATTCTACAAAGCGACTAAAATTAGAAGTATTACAGTGAAAACGAACAGTAGACAGAATTAATGATAAAATGTTGTTTTACTTATAAAGTAATTATTGTTTTCAAATTAAGAATTTATATAAACTTTAATATTTCTTTTTATTTGTTTCTGTTCGTATCAATTAGAACAATATTTCAGCGACCAGAATAAATTATAACATAGCGACCAAGACGAGAATTAAAACAAAGCGAAAAGGAACAATATTTCAGTGAGTAGAATAAAGTAACAGAGCGACCAAGACAAGAATTAAAACAAAACAAAAAGGAACAAAATTAAGTCTTGAATGTCATTTGTAGTTAATTTTTCTTCAGGCAGACACATTCTGGTGTGCTTAACATATCTCTCAGTGGTTCTAATGTGGTTTTATTTTCATAATTCTTTTTAAGTCTCCGGATCTGTTTCTCTTTGTTCTTTAAAATTCGTCGCAGTGATTTTTCTTTGATTGTTGCACTAGACTGGGTCTTCTTAAATACTGACTCTGTTGTTGGATTTGTAGCGGAGGAAGGTATGGCAGCGTCTTTTGTTATATTTAACTCCTATAAATATACAAAGTGTTATTTTATACACAAATCCGGTCGTTTTTGTTGACAATTTTACAGTGTTCATGATTTTATTTACTTAAATATGTATTTTTTTGGTTTGTTGCATCATCAATAAACATGTTTATTATTATTATTAAATGCCCACCAACATTACAAAGTAAAAAAAACCTTCTTCAGTAAAAAGTGATAATGTATTAAAAAATAACAATAACCAGCACAGAAATTAATTAATATTTATTTCTGACAGCTCTCAGCATAATATGGTATCGTATCAATGTTACTGATAAAGTGAAAACAAAAGTAAAACTTACTATGACAGAATCCGTTAAATTATCTTGCTCCAGTTTAGGCTGTCTAAGCGATTCACTCGTTACAAAGTGTGCTTCCTGAATAAAGAAAATGTCATTAGAACTGTAAATTTAATTCTAAAAGTAAATGGAAGCAATTAGAAGTAAGAAATTAGAATTTACATTCATGATCACTCTTAAAGGCTTTGCATCTCTTTTTAAGGTCAAGGGGGTCTTATTCAACATAAAGCTTTCCTTTGTAAAATGATTGTTGCAAATTCTCATTCGTCTAGAATATGTGTTTTCTGCTGGTACACCAAGACACTCATTCCATGATCGCTGTCTAAAATATTAAAGTAGATTTTCATTTAGTACAAAAAATCTATCTAACTTAAATTTATAAATTTACTTATTGATATTTAATGGAAAAGAAAATAATTTAACCACTTCCTCTGCCGAACGTCCGCAAATGTAGCAATTCCTATCCATTACAACTAAATTCTACTATAAAACTCGACTAGGCCTTAAAAACTAACTAATTCTAAGATAACGAACTATGGTAATGAACTAATGAAAACTAAGGTGTACAAACAAATAAACTACTAAACAAATCTATGTAATAATCAAACGATATACAGGCAAAACTACACAATAATTAAACAAGACACAGATAAAAGATTGATGAAATAGATACAAATTTTTAAATGGCTGAATAAGCAAGTCACGCAAGTTCTGATAGAACTGGACCAACTGGGACCAACTGGACGTAGCTTTGGGGTTTACAGATTTATGACTTGAAATACATGGCGCCATCTATTGCCTTCTTTAAATTCTACGAGTTTACGACTTAAAAATTTTGAAATAAATGGTGTCATCTATTGGTTTCTTTAAATACTACTGTAACGCGACCATTGCGCCATCTACATCGATTCAGTTTATGTGAGAGAGAAAGTATCATACGAAGTTTTCATTAGTTGAACAAGGATAGATAGGAGTGCCAATTTATTAGCCGGAGGTCGGCCTCTGTATACTCTGTGGTTTCCTTCATAGAGGTCGCTAGTGACAGATCGAAAGGGTCCGCATGTCGAGATGTTACCCGCAATCCCGCGAAAAAGTAGCAGTAGCAGCCCGTTACAAGGTGGTTATGACAAGCGATAACGGATGCTTCCAAGCTTTGTATTTGTGTCAAAGAAAATAAATTAAAACGAAAATAGAATCCTTTCATTCAAAACTACATACAGTCCACAACATTTGGTCCTAGGAGCCGGATACAGGAGCAGATTTCCGAAGAAATTGGTTATTGAATCATCATTTAACAACTATTTGGCGCCCTAGCCGCAGATTTCGAGCCGGTCAAGGTCAGTCCTTTTTCTTTATTTCCTTATCAGTCTTTCATCACAATGGAAGATTTGCTCAAGAAACGAGCCCTTATAAAATCCAAATTAACGAGATTCGAAACATTTTTAATGTACCAAGCAAAACAAAAACCAGAAGAATTAAAGATTAGGTTGAATAGCTTCGTTAAATTGCTACCAGAATACGAATCCATTCAAATTAAAATCGAATCATTTGATTCAACACAAGAAAGCGATAGAGAGGTATTTAAAGATAGATATGACGAATTAATAACAGAAGCTCGTAAATTTCTCGATAGTTTGAACCCACAACTTGATACCCTTACAATTTCTACCCCAGTCAGTAGCAATGATAATTCAAACAAGCAATAAATTAAATGTCAAATTGCCAAAAATCACTCTTCCAATGCATCAAATAAAATCGGCACAAAAACTAAGCGAGCATGGGAAAGTTCTATTAAAACCAATAGGTACAATACCAGACCTCAAACAGTTGTTTGAGTTTTTGTCTTTACAGTGCCTCATTCTCGAATCAGTAGAAAGGAAAGATCCAACACAGTATCTTGTCAAAACCATGCAAATTTTTTGATTAGACGCCAAAACAACGCTTCAAGAAAGTCGGGAATTTTAAACTTTGCATCAATTGCCTTAAACCAGGTCATGTACACGTAGACTGTAAACTAGGCAATTGAAAGAAATGTGACAATGTTCATAATACCTTGTTGCATTTTGGAAAATGTGACCTTTCTACTGCACGTTGTTTTGATCCTCCAACGACAAGTGTGGTATCTGCACATACAATGAACAATAGCAGCGAATATGTTTTATTGTCTACAGCTCTATTACGGGTAAAATATGCAATGGGAAATTTAATCAGATGTCGGGCTTTAGTGGACTCCTGTTTAATCAAATTTTATTACCACTGAACTTACATCTAAATTGAATTTATAAAGAACTAAGATTTTAGCATTCATTAACGGGGTTAATCAATCGAACATTAATGCAACCACTAGAACACAGACAGATACTTATTCATTAAACAAGTTTACCAACATGATATATCCTGATTTTCATAAACCCAGCAACGTAGATATTTTGCTAGGCAAATCAAATTATATGGAAATGAAGGAACCATACTCCAAAAAAGAAAACTGGGTTGGATAATAGCACTTTTGTTTTCTGATTACTCGTAAAACTATTAATAAGAATACCTTCTGCATTATTGAAATCTTTAGAAAGATTTTGAAAAATTGAGGAATCACCGAAGGTTAGCCATTTATCTCCTGAAAACTTGGTCGTTTTCGCGTTTCGTTGCCGTTGAAGGACAATCCTCAAATTTTAGGTGAATCCTATGATATTGCAAAGCGACGATTAATCTCATTGGAAAACAAATTCGCAAAAAAATCCGAATTGAAGGAAGATTACACTAAATTTATGTCTGATTACGAGTCATTGTGTCACATGTTTGAAGTTAGAGCGGATAAAATGGGGAAATCGGAACATCAAAGGAAGTAGTACCTAAATTACGTACCGCACCACAGTCTATTTAAAATGTCTAGCATGAGTACTAACTTGAGAGTAGTGTTTGAAGCGTCCGCAAAGACATCCTCGGTATCTTCTCTAAATGATTTGCTCAAGGTTGGACCTGTGGTTCAAGACGATTTGATATTAATAATCTTGAGGTTTCGACTATATAATTGTGTTGTCTGGGGACATTGCTAAAATGTACCGGCCGATGAATATTCACCGAGAGCAAAGAAATTTGTAACGAATATTATGGCGTAACGATTCGAATGATACAATCAAACATTTTACGTTGAATACGGTTACTTATGGGACCATTACAACGCCTTATTTAAGTACGCGTTGTTTATATCAATTGGCAAGAAATAACGAGATTGCCTATTCAGACACTGCTAGATCTATTGATCATGATTTTTATATGGATGATCTATTAAAGGGTGCACATTCTGAGCAAGAAGTATTAAAATTAAAGCAGGAAATTTCAAGCATTTTGAGTCAAGGCAAATTCGAATTACGAAAATTTAATTTTAATATTCACTAGGTTAATAACAACAATGAGTTGAAGGATTTAAACTTGATTGAAGCTAAGAGAACAAGAATTAAACTAACCAGTAAGTTGAAAACTTTAGATCCATTCTTAGACGAAGATGGTCCTTTGAGGGTAGGTAATTTTACCCTCTAAACACAAATTAACTGAATTGATCATTCGTCATAAACATTTGGAAAATTTACATGCTGGTGTTCAAACTCTTCTTTCGATTATAATACTTGAATATTGGCCTATAAACGAAAAAAATGTGATTAAATGATATTACGTTCATGCATGATTTGTTTTCGAGTAAAACCTAGATTCATTTTTCCAAAGATGGGTATGTTGCCCAAAGAACGAACAACACCAGTACGACCATTTAGGAATGTAGGTGTGGATTGTATAGGTCGTACTAATCAAGGATGGTAAATTAAGAAACTGAAGGTTTGTTAAGTCCTACGTTTGTTTATTTGTAACTGATTTGACATTTGACACATTTCTGATTGCATTTAAAAGATTTGTGGGTAGACGAGGTTTATATCGATGCCTATATTCCGATAATGCTACTAATTTTAAAAGTGCTAAGAATTTAATGATCTAGCTAAGGATCCTGATATTATAAATTATTCCCGTGACAAAAGGGTCATTTGGCACTTCATTCCCGCAAGAAGCCCTCACTTTGGTGGGATTTGGGAAGCTGCGGTTAAACGGGTTAAGTATCATTTAATGAGCACAATCGGTGATGAAAGACTAACAACCTATGAGACCTTTTCCACAGTTTTAATCCAAATTGAGTCAATCGTAAACTCAAGACCTTTGCTTCCTTTATCCTCTGACCCTCAAAATTTAGAATTATTGACTCCAGGACATCTTTTAATTGGCACGGTCTTATTGGCAGTTCTTGAAGTAGTTTCAGAAATTTTTGTTAACCGATTAACAATTTACAAACAACTCCAAAAATTACACCAATCATTTTAGAAAAGGTGGTCGTTGAGAAAAGTCTCCAAAAATCTCCACGTTAGAAAACATGAAGATTCAACCGAGAAGATCTTGTCAAAATGAGATGTTTGGTTCTGGTTAAAGATGACAACCTTCCCTCAATGCAGTGGAGAACAGGAAGAATAGAAGAACTCCATCCTGGTCCAGACGAAAAGGTTCGTGTGGTGAAGATCCATACTTCAGGTGGAACTGTGTCTAGAGTTTGTGTTTTACCACTAGATGAACAGTAACGGACTTTATATACTTTCTTAGGTTTCTTTATGTATTCTTTTTTTTCTTTTGAAAGATAACTCCACCTACAACTAGAGAAAAATGTTGTTGCAATTAACTTTTCGTTTTTTTTTTTTTTTTATTTGATTTTATCGCTAAACCAGGTTACTAAAATCTTATTTTAAAAATTATAATGTTAGTTGTATTGAAAAGAATTCTTTTTTCGAAAAAAGATGTAGTTTTTAATTTAAAGTTGATAAATGCTCCACTTAAATGGTAAGCTTTTTAAATTAAAATAACTTAATTTTTATATTAAGATATTTATGCTATTGAGATAATAATGTATAAATGTTAGCAGAAAATGGATTCAACTTTATTATTAAAAGAACGATATTTTAGTTTAAATAAACATATTCTTTTTTATTTTTTAACCCAAATAGTGTCAGCTTTAAAGCAAAAATTAGTCATTATACAGGTTGAGTCAATAGTGCGGGGACGGAAGATAGTGGCTTTACTGTTGAAAATTAGAAAAATGTTTTTGTCATCATATACACTCACTTCCATAAAAATTGCAACGCCTAGAATTTTTTGAACGAGTTCATTGAAATTTTCGTCAATGATGTCTTTCATTAGAACAAACGATTAAAATTTGAATAAAATCTAGCTAGTAGTTAGGTTCTTTTTTATTTTTTCCTTTGCACTTAGTAGCAATAAATTTAAAGAAATAAACAAAGTGTAATTAACAGTCAATTTTGCAAAGTATTGTTTACAATTTCGTTCTGAACTTGGGAACACTGCGAAGAGTACGTCAACATCAACATTTTTCCCAATTGACTGATTTTGAACGTGGCCGTATTGTTAATAATAATAATAATAGGACTTTATTTCCCACAGGTACTACCCAGTTACAGGAAAAAAAATTATAACATCACAATATTTAAATTAACTAAATGAAAAAGATATAACTATAACCAAAATACAAACTAATATAACATAATAAACTAATCGTAATCATAACTACTAACAATCTACTGCATGCTGAAATGATCCAAAGTTGCCGCAACCAAGCGCACCTGTAAAGGTGCATTTAAACCAAACGAACAAAGAGCTAGAGCTAGAACAAGAGCATTCTTTCTTGATCTTTTAGTGTAAATGAAAGCGCGTTTTTAGCGTTTACACCAAAATATCAACGAGCAAAAATGAGAATCAAGAATTAGAATTCTTGCACATAGATGTTTAGATCAGCCGAACGAATGCTCATTCGGCTAGAACACAAGAACGCTTTGAAGAGACCGCTCCGATGAGCGAGCACGTCCGAACACGCAAGAACGCTCTAAGCAATTGTTCGTGCGCTCTAGTGCCGTTTACATCAAGCGATCGAACATTCCTAGAATATTCCCGAGAATCTTTGAGAACACAGACAAAACAACGAAAGAATGCTCTACATCTCTTTACACTAAAAGAATATGATAGAGTGGGGATAGAATGAGCATTCGCTCGTCTGATGTAAATCGACCCTTAGGGCCTTTGCGTTCTCAAAGATTCTATGGAATATTCTAGAAATGTTCGATCGCTTGATGTAAACGGCACTAGAGCGTGCGAACAATTGCTTAGAGGTTACGTTTAGTAGTTTAGAAGGGTAGGTTGAAAGTACAAATAGGGTCAAAACGTGCCCTATTATGAGTTAAACATATTCCCCAAATTTCATTTTCCTATTTTATGGTTTTTGAGAAAAAAAAATTAAACCAAAATTTTCCGCCATTTTTGGAGGGGTGTAGCTCCTTAGGGGGGCCGAAGTCGCCCATGGTTCATATATCAAAGTACCCTTAAAATTCACTAAAGAATCACCCCTTGAAGTTTGTTGCAGTTATTCAGATACACTCTGTATATTATCAATATCTGAGCATTGATAATATTATTGAACGTGTGAGTAGAACGATTAACAAATTGCCAACATTGAAGGGATGGTTTGACGAAAACCAAAATATTTGATATATTGATAATAAATATTGACAGTCTGAGGGGGAGTTTGACAATCATCAATCTTTTGGAGTAGATACGCGAACCTCATTCAACAAATTCATGTGACAAAACGTGTCTCTCTTTAGAAGCCATTCCCTAGCCCATATTCTCTTTTTCTTCTGGCGTTTTATTGTTAAGCTAAAATAATAGTTACTCAAGCTTTTTGACGGTATGACATTTTTTACTGCCAGCGCGAACTAAGTAGATCGTCAAGAAATATTGATAGTCTGACGCAAATACAGTTTGTCAATGTTTATTGGCCATATTGACAATATTTATAGATCGTGTGAAGGCTACTTAAGACAAACAATATTGAAAATATTTACGAAAATTTGTCTTAGTAATTTCTTAGTCAATCTTAGTGATTTATGTGTTTAGACCAAAAATTTTTACACGAATCGTCATCATTGTGACTCTAGTATTTGGGATTAAAATTATGCCACGACGTACAGAAACTAGCGCACCTGGTATGGATTGTTTCTAATTAAGCCTTTTTGCCTAGCTTGACTACCCCCAGCACCACTGTTGCGAATGTAATTATTATCTCTTTTCATTTTGCCCACATTTCACTAATATCTTCCAGTCTCCGGATATTCTGTTTCAACAGTGTAGTCTCCACTTGATTCCGATATTGCTTCGACTTATGTTCGTTTTTTAAGGCTTCAATGTTTAAACGGTCTCTTCGTATGGACCTCACGTTCTTTACGGTGGATATACTATCTCTAATTGTAAGTGTTGCCATTAACCTGTTAACTGTCTTATGAAGCGAAGCTGATGGTCTTTCGTAATGGCGCAAAACATTTACCGCATGCGAATATATACGTCATAAACATTAAGTATTAACATATTGCAGAAAAACTTTGTAATAACAATAAATAAACAAAAAGATTTAATATAGAAACATTTAATATCTACGATATATCTACAGGCAAATAAAAAGAAAAGTTTATTGTTTAACTTAATTAATATGTTTAACTAAAAATGAATGCACTAAAAATAAAACATAAAAGTATATATACAGTTATTCTTATATATATAGTTACTATATAGTTATTCTTTTGTATGATATCGTCTAAAACATGGACCCGGACAAAGACGTGTATGGCATTCCTCACACCAGTATCTTGATTCTTTTCTTGCTCCATTTTGACTACATACAACACACCTCTTCGTTAGTTTTTCTTTAGTTGTAGGTGGTATTATAGCCGGAAAATGTCTTTCAATTAGACGAGAAGGTTTAGGTGTTTTAGATCGTCTTATATAATTTTGTCTAGCGATAGCATTATTTTTAATCATTTGTTCAGCTAATTCTAAAATAAAACGCAACCGCTGTTTCTTTTCGCCCAATTTTCGATATATATGATAACAATTCAGCGTGGTTATACTCAAAAAGTGCATGAATATTTTTATATAATACTTTTTTAACCTGCGTCTTGTTGCAGAATATGAACTTAAATAACAGTCAGTCAAGTCAACTCCTCCCATATTCAAATTGTAGTCAATAATAACTTTGGGTTTAGGAACTATTCGACCACTTCTTGTTTTTACCATTTCCATTGAATCACAGTTATATCTTTCTTATCTTTCCACTTTAAAATCATCTGTTTTCTTCTATACATAGCAATTACTTCTCCCTTTTCTAACTCTTTTTTCTTAATTTCATCTGGAATGCCCTTTCGGTTAATTTTCATTGTTCCTATACAGTCTGTTCTTCTTCTTAGCAAGGTATCAGTTAGACTTGGACTGTTGTAAAAATTATTCTAATAAACGCAATAACATTTATCTAAAAGACTATCGGTCAGTTCCAAAACAACCCTGGCAGTAATTGGTTCGTTTTTATATCGAGAAATTTCATATCGTGTGGTTGCTCCGGTGTAAATAATAAAATTATAAAGGTATCCTGTCTGACTTTCACATAGTGCAAACATTTTCATACTAAACCGTTTTCGTTTGCAAGGTATGTACTGTTTCCAACTAAGTCTTCCTTTCCAACCTATCAATGATTCGTCTACAGCTACGTTCTTTGCAGATATATACACTGTTTGAAATTTATTTTTTAGGTGACTTAAAATAGGTGATATCTTATACAGGTTTTTGTCGAGAGAATGTTCATTATATTTTTTGTTATCGGAAGAATGCAAAAATTTCAACAACAAACGAAATGTTTTTTCTGACATTATTTTTGAAAAAAATGCGGTTGCATTGGTTTCTCTTCTTGAAAAATACATGCTAATCTCCGGTTTTTCGCATATCCTTTGTAAAATTAAAAGTCCTAAGAATGTTTTTATTTCTTTAAGGTTAGTATTTTCCCAATCTTTCTGAGAAAAAGGTCTCCAAAATTTGAACAATATTGTCCTTATGTACTGTATTAATTTGTATATCAGGTTTTCCAGAGAACGGGAATGATGGACGCGGCACCCGATTATCTCTAGACCACAATACGTCTAATGGGTCTACTAAATTTGGACGCGATTCATCCTCGTCACTTTCGATATCTGATGTTTCATATACGCTGTTCGAGGAATGTTCTTCAGAAGAATCAAACTTTCCTCTTCGACATTTTACTATAAAAATATATTTCCCATTTAATATAATTGGAAATTTCTTTTAAAATAAACGTAAAAATATATCAAAATCGATAATTAAAAGATTATTACTTACTCACAGTAATTAATTACTTAATTACATATACTCGCCACAACACTGATCGTGCACGTTCAAACACGTTTCACTCGAACGTTTATTCAAAACGAGCTGATGAACAAACTGACGCGTTTATTTCAATGTACAGAATATCATATGCGCACATAATCGTATTAGACATTATGTTTAGCGCAAAAAAGTAAACTGCAAATATATACGTCATAAGCACCTAATAAGTGATATATATTATGATACACGTATATATTCGTCTTAAATAGTTAACGGGTTAATAGATAGTGATCGCTATCTATATTTGGGCCACGGCGTCTTCGCACGTCTAAAATGTTTGAGGTATGTCGGGCTTCTATGAGGACATGGTCATTCTGGTTAACAGTGCCATTGCCAGGGAATTTCCAGATCCCTTTATGAATATCTCTATGCGGAAATCGTGTTTCTCATTATCATTGGATTCCTCGTGTAGACTTTCACGGCCTATAGCGGTAGAAATAATTTTTGTCTAACTACTTTGGCGTTTATGGTTTCCCTATAGCAGGATAGAGTGTTGCGTTTCAGTACTCCTTAACCCCTCAATGCCATTAGCATAGTGCTTCACATTCTCTATGGCTTTTCTATTATAAAGGAGTTTCGATACTTTTACCGTTTATCGACGGTGTTAAAGTTAGATGTCACTACTACTAAAAATAAGAACAACCCAAAAAATTGAACTTGTATGACAGGTGTAAATTATAGCATTTGAAGCAATTAAACAAATGTACAAATGCATTGATGGACGTTATGCAAATGTTGTTAGTGTCATATAAGTTGGGTGTTGGCCACTTCAGATAATTTTTAATGTTCATAATAAGTATATCAATATTTTATTACTACGGTATATTTTTGAGACAACCATTGTATGCCTTTAAATATACTTCAGGTATAATGTCTACATCATTTTACTATTCACCTATGTATCTGATACTAACTAATAATACTGATAAAAGAATAAAATTATGTTTTGCTTTTAGAAAATCCAAACGTACCGTTATTAACATTAAAACCCTCAGCGAATGCGATTTGCCTCGAATACAACCCTAAAGATGTAAACACGTTAATAAGCGGTCATATAAACGGTCAAGTCGGAGTTTGGGACCTGCGGAAAGGTTGCGAACCTATAGATATGACCGTAATGGAAGTTGGTTTTCGTGATCCGGTTCATAGCGCATTATGGATAGCGTCAAAGTCAGGTTATGAGTTTTATACCGGGTCAACTGATGGTCAAGTGAAATGGTGGGATTTGCGTAAATTGAATGAACCGTTAGAAACTTTAATTTTGGATTTGAGTAATCTTCATCATCAAGTGATTTCACACGCTTATAGCGCCATCCGCCTTGAATACGAGATGACAATGCCCACAAGATTTATGGTAGGCACTGAAGAAGGCTTCATCGTGGCGGGAAATCGTAAGGGTAAAACACCGCAAGAGAAACTCACTGGCAAGTACCAAGCTCATTTAGGGCCGGTTATGGGATTGGAAAGAAATCCGATGTATGCTAAAAACTTTTTATCGGTTGGAGATTGGACGGCGAGAATCTGGTCAGAAGAGTGCAGGGAAAGTTGTATTATGTGGACGAACTACCATAAAGCTATGTTAACTGATTGTGCTTGGAGTCCTACAAGGTAACAATTTCGGGAACATATTAGATTCTATAGTGATCTTTGAAATAGCACTTTAATAATTCAGTGTTAACCTAATATCTCAGTCCCTTGTAAAATCACTACCTATTTATACTAATTTTATTGTTAATATTAATCCTATTAATTTTATACCATGAATTTCACTTAAGATGCAATATTACAAACATGTATTTCCATAGAAACCAGGGCGTACCTACTTATATTGTCCCACATAAAATGCAACATGTCAATATAATTTGGCATCAGTAGTATTTTGATATACAGTCGTTTCACGTAACTGGTTCGTTAGAAATTTTTCAAATTCCACTATTCGTAGAGATTTGAAATTTTAGTATCATGGGTTGTTTATTCGAATCTAAAATATTTTCAAGATGGTCGCCTCTTCCGGTCAACCGGAAGTAGACCATAACTTCGTTATTTTAAATGGACTGCTATAGTTTTTATTACACATTTAATTGTACGTAAAAAAAATAGGTTGAGATTGATAAAAGTTTTCGAGTTATTTTGGTTTTAAGCTTGTTTTGGTAAATTTCAACATGCTCTTTAAAACCCCATATCTCAGCCAACGTTCATTCAAAAAAGATCTACATAGGCACGATTACTCTTCAGATGCTGTCAAATGGATAGTCATCCATTTGTTGTATCGGAGTATCTTATACAGGACAGCCAAAAATTGAAGTACTGTTTCTCCTCATTCAATGGCGAGAAAGTCGAAAATTTTAAATGGTACACCCGGGCACGCCCCATATTTTTTAGCCTATCAGAAAGGGAATTTAATTCTCTATAAATTATCTATAAATATTCCTAATACCTGTTTATTGTAGTTTGCCTCATATAGCAGAAACCACGAGAGCTGGCAGTGACTTGACGTTTAAAAATGGTATGAATCAAGATATGGACGTACGACTTAGATTATTTCACCACATACATTTAAATGTATGTTAGGTTAGTAATGGAGGTTATATGTCAAACATTGTCAAATTTAGGAGAGGTTAAGCAGCGAGAAATCGTTAATATTAATTTATAATAAAATTTATGTAATTATTAATTTATTTAACAAATACTTTAAAAGGTTATTTACAGGTCGCAAGGGATTAAGTAAGTTTTATTTAAACAGTGGTTCATAATTTATTCATTAATTATTAATTTATTTTATTTTCGGCTTGTGAAAACACTAAAAGATTCATGACAACGCTCACAAGACGTTTCGATTTGAGGTTGTAATTATAGAGTTACATCCCTTAGAAGAACAGACATACTTTTTCGACGTGGTTATTTGAATTGTACAGCAGACATATTAAACTAATGCTATCTCTTTCTAACACACATTACTCTCTAAAAAGCCAGGTTTGTCATATATATACTATCTCCTATATCGCTGACTCCCCTATCTAAGCAATGAGTGGCGAGCGTTTCCATCAAAAGCAGACGGAATGATATATGTTTTGTCTTTGTCGTGCCCCCATGTCGCGAAGGCGCTTGCGCGAATCGTAAATTTTAAAGAGTTTGAAGTGTTTCGCGCGTATTTTATGCAGCTTTGAAATGCAATTATTGTAGATAGTTGACTTTAATTATAAATTATCGTAGATGCATCAAATAAATTAGAATATATGTACTTTTGTGTGAAATTGACGTTGAATATTGCTTTAAATATCAACTTTATGTAGGTTGTTCATTAAACATTATATTCTTTACTTTTGTTTAGGCAACCCAAATAACAAACCAAATTTTATGTAACCATGACAATTTTGTCGATTTCAAATGTTATAAATAAAACAAGAAGCCATTATTGTATTAGATTTTAGGTTATGTTTATGTCAAACATTTATTTGGTGTTTTATAAACATCAAGGTCATCAGCTGCTATTAATTTTTAATTCACCGTCCAATAAGATAAAAGCGTACTCACCACGTGTTCACGCATGTCTCTTGTGTAGACGGGGGCACGACAGAGACAGATATATATATAT